AGGCAGGAGACTCGCTTGAGCCCAGGAGTTGGAGGTTGCTGTGAGCTGTGATGCCATGGCACTCTACCCAGGGGGACAGCTTGAGGCTCTGTCTCCAAAAAAGAAAGACTTTTAAGAAAATGCCAGATTACTTCATGAGAATTTGGAAAATCAGTATCCTATACAATATTTTCAATCTTTGGTTTTCTGAGATTCTAAAAATCTAGTCTAACATTATATTTGGGCTCTGAAGATAAGAACTGATACAAACAAAATCTAATGAAGTAAGGAGTGAGTGAGTAAAAGACATGTTCCATGTTGTTCTCATCAATTCAGGATTCAGCTCTAGAAAAAAGGTAGACTGTCCTTAGCACAGAATACAAGTGCTCTAATATTCACTTAAGCTTCAGGAGTGAGAAGGTAACAGCATACCATGAGGCACCAATGTGGAATGACCTATCTGGGGGACGCTCCATGGACTCCACTCTTGTCGGCCATCTCCTCGGGCACAGACTCTGAACTGATAATCAACATTGGGGTCTATGTGCAATACTATGAATTCAGTTTCCGAACCTACATATACGTCCTCAAAATGATTTGAAGTACATTTACGGAACTGGAGCCTGTAATCTTGAGCTGTAAAGTCGTCATCCACCTAAGGAAAAGGTTTTATGTTAGGTAAAAACCAGAGCATGACTAACTTCTCTTAGCATCACTGCTTAAAAATCTTAAATGGCAACATATTGAACCAAACATACAGGCCACCAAGCTGAATGTGGGCTGTTGTCAGGAAGGCCACAGGAAATATGCAATCGCTATTGCCCTTCTTTATTGAACCATGTATTCTATATTTCTCAGTCTAATATAAAAATTCTGTTTCATTTGAAGAAATGGCATGTTTTCTAATCAATGCTAAAGATAAAACATTCAAAATTCAAGGGTATCACACAACTATACATCATTCATAAAACTAAGAGAGAATTAATATCCATAAAGGACTAAATATTAATAGGAAACAAGCTAAAAATTAATAGGAAACAAGCCACCCAACATAAAAATGTCCAAAAGATACGAATAAGCATTCTACGGATTAAGAAATAAATGGCTGGGTACAGTGCCTCACACCAGTAATCCTAGCATTCTGAAGGCTGACACTGAAGGATCAGTTGAGGCCAAGAGTTCAAAACCATCCTGAGCAAGAAAAAGACCCATATTGGCTCAGTGCCTATACTCAGTGCCTAAGGAGCTGGCCACATACACTGGGGCTGGCACATTCAAACTCGGCCCAGGCCAGCTAAAACAACGATGACAACTACAACAAAAAAATAGCAAGGCATTGTGGCAGGTGCCTGTAGTCCCAGCTACATGGGAGGCAGAGGCAAGAGAACCACTTAAGCCCAAGAGTTGGAGGTTGCTGTGAGCTGTGATACCATAGCACTCTACTAAGGGTGACATACTAAGACTCTAAATAGCTGGGCATAGTGGCATGTGCCTATAGTCCCCAGTAACTCAGGAGGCTGAGGCAGAAGAATTGCTTAATCCTAAGAGTTTGAAGTTGCAATGAGCTGTGATGCCACCACACTGGAGTGACAGAGTGAGACTCTGTCTCAAAAATAAATAAATAAATAGTCAAAGAGGTTGCATTCAACTTCATTTATAATATGAAAAATGGAATCAAAAACCACAATGGGATACCATTTTGGGGAAAATATAAAGTCTCACATTGCAAAGTATTGGTTAAGATGGGGAATAACGGAAACTCATATACTGCTGGTAGAAGGCTAAACTGATCCAATCATTTTGGGCAAAGTCTGTAGTAACCAGTAGAGTACAGGCCCAATATTCTAAGACCTTATAAATTTACAGCTAGGAATAGACTTCAGAAAAAAACTTTACACATGTCCATAAAGAAACAGGAACAAGAATGCTTATATTGGCTCACCCATAGCACAGTGGTTAGGGTGCCGGCCACATACACCGAGGCTGGTGGGTTTGAACCCAGCCTGGGCCAGCTAAGCAACAATGACAACTGCAACCAAAAAACAGCTGGTGTTGTGGTGGGCACCTGTAGTCCCAACTACATGGGAGGCCAAGGCAAGAGATCACTTATACCCAAGAGCTGGAGGTTGCTGGGGGTGTGATGCCACGGCACTCTACCCAGGGTGACACAGTGAGACTCTGTCTCAAATAAATAAATAAATAAATAAAAATAGAATGCTTATAGCTTAAAAAGAAAACAACCAAGCAATAGCTAGATCCACTGATAAGGGAAAGAATAAAAATAAAGAGTCCTTGTCCTGAATCAACAAAACCATCTGTACTTCTTTTTCCTATACTAAGGCTTCATTTAAAAAATCAAAAAAGGAGAAGAAAAAGGAAAAGCTTAGTGGCATGCACCTGTAGCTCTAGCTACTTGGGAGGAAGGGTGAGGAAAGCTGCAGGATTGCTGGAGCCCAAGAGCCCAGCCTGGGCAAAATAACAAGATCCTATCTCTTAAAAAAATCCTTTTTGGCAATGCCCGTGGCTCAGCAGGTAGGGTGCCGACCACATACACCAGGGCTGGCACGTTCGAACCTGGACTGAGCCAGCTAAAACAACAATGACAACTGCAACAACAAAATAGCCAGGCACTGTAGCAGGCACCTGTAGCCCCAGCTACTTGGGAGGCTGAGGCAAAAGAATTGCTTAAACCCAAGAGTTTGAGGTTGCTGTGAGCTGTGACGCTATGGCACTCTACTGAGGGTGACATAGTGAGACTGTCTCAAAAAAAAAAATTCCTTTTGAGAAACTGTTTTCAGAAGCTAAACACTAACCTCTGTATTGTCAACAGCAAGATCCTATGGCTAATCTGGACATGGGCCATAGTTTCTACTTAAATAATGGGAACTCATATATATAATTTAATAAACAAAGCTCACAGCAATACTGACAACGTGAAGAAAGCATATTTTAGAAATCTTTTTTTTTTGGAGACAGAGTCTTACTTTGTCACCCTAGGTAGAGTGCCATGGCATTATAGCTCACAGCAACCTCAAACTCTTGGGCTTAAGCAATCCTCTTGCCTCACCCTCCTGAGTAGCTGGGACTACAGGCATTCATGACAACACCCAGCTATTTTTAGAGACTAGGTCTTGCTCTGACTCAGGATGTTCTCGAACATGTGAGCTCAGACAATCTACCCGCCTCAGCCTCCTGCAGGGCTAGGATTACAGGGATGAGTCATCTCACCTGGCCTTCTTTTTTTTAAAGATAGTCTAACTTTGCAACCCTTGGTAGGGTGCCATGGCGTCATAGCCTACAGCAACCTTAAACTCTTGGGCTCAAATTATCCTCTTGCCCAGCATAGCTGGGATGACAGGTGCCTGCCACAATGCCCTGCTATTTTATTTTAGAGAAAGGGTCTTGCTCTAGCTCAGGCTGGTCTTGAACTCCTGAGCTTTAGCAATTCGCCCATGTGCTAAGATTACAAGGAGTGATCCACCACTCCTGGCCATCATATTTTAGGAATCTTATTTCAAAGGTATTCATTCAGTGCTGAAAGAAAATATTGAGACATGACTTGGTGCCCGTATCCCAGTGGTTAGGGCGCTGGCCACACAGACCGAGACTGGTGGGTTCAAACCTGGCTGGGGCCTGCTAAACAACAATGACAACTGCAACAAAAAAATAACTGGGTATTGTGGCATACGCCTACAGTCCCAGCTACTTGGGAGACTGAGGCAAGAGAATCACTTAAGCCCAAGAGTTTGAGGTTGCTGTGAGCTATATGTTACAGCACTCTACCAAAGGTGACATAGTAAGACTCTGTCTCAAAAAAAAGAAAAGACAATATTGAGACATCTGATATTCATCATCATCTTTGGACATTTCTAATAAACAGAAATGGGAGAAAGCCTTCATTCACTGAGGTTAAGTCTGAGAAATATGAAATGGGAAACAATGTTGTGATACAGGGATTTTAGAAAGCTCCTTCAAGACTGTTTATCTAAAAGAAGAAGAGTACCTCAGTTCATATCTTGTGACTTTATTTTCATTGTAAGGCAAAAGGGGTATTTCTTTAAGAAGAGAGGAGAATATTCAAAGGTAGTTAAAAATTTTAACAGCCTCAAAATATCAAATCCATAATGTGGAGGCCACTTCTACAATTCTGAGTTACGTACCTTACACCATCGTACTATGATGCCTCCAGGCTTTTCTATTAGTTCTTCTATCTGTACTGGTGGGCGAGATGCTACGGTTCCATGCTTAAAAATGTGGTCTTTCACTATGTTAAGGACTGAGTCATCCAACTGAGCAGATAAGCAAGGCACATCAACCAACAAAGGCACTTCTGGTAAGCTGAGGAAACAAAGCTCAGTACATGAGACTTTTAACTGAGAGTTAAAAATACACGGACTATTTTACAGCAGTTACATTTGAAGGATCCGGAAGCTCCCAGTACGTAATTCTCATGGCAGTAGAGCCTTTGCAAAATGTTCCATAAAGATTCTTCTCCCAGGGCGGCACCTGTGCCTCAGTGAGTAGTGTGCCAGCCCTATATACTGAGGGTGGTGGATTCGAACGCGGCCCTGGCCAAACTACAACAACAAAAAAAATAGCCAGGCGCTGTGGCAGGTTCCTGTAGTCCCAGCTACTCGGGAGGCTGAGGTAAGAGAATCACCTAAGCCCAAGAGCTGGAGGTTGCTGTGAGCTGTGATGCCACAGCACTCTACCAAGGGTGACAAAGTAAAACTCTGTCTCTAAAAAAAAAGATTCTCCTCCCAAAGACAGAAACTTGGTAGAACAACAACTGTCAGGCTTTTACCAAAAGATCTGGTTCACTGAAATATGACTTAATTTTAATAACATGTTCAGATTTTTTTTTTTGGTAGAGACAGAGTCTCACTTTGTCACCTTCGGTAGAGTGCCATGGTGTCACACCAACCTCCAACTCCTGGGCCCAGCCTCTCTTGCCTCAGCCTCTCAAGTAGCTGGGACTACAGGTATCTGCTACACCACCCGGCTACTTTTTTGTTGCAGTTGGGTTTGAACCTGCCATCCTCAGTATATGGGGGCACCCTATCCACTGAGCAACAGACACCGCCTCCATGTTCAAAATTTCTTTCTTTTTTTTAGAGACAGAGTCTCACTTTGTCACCCTCGGTAGGGTGCTGTAGCATCACAGCTCACAGCAAGCTCTAGCTCTTGGGCTTAGGTGATTCTCTTGCCTTAGCCTCCCATGTAGCTGGGACTACAGGCATCTGCCACAACTCCTGGCTATTTTTTGTTGCAGTTTGGCTGGGGCCGGGTTTGAACCTGCCACCCTTGATATATGGGGCTGGTGCCCTACTCACTGAGCCACAGGCACCGTGCCATGTTCAGAATTTCTAACATGGAAGTTTTCTTAGAATTGAAAGAAATCTATAGTAATACTATAACAAAAATCAGACATAGTTTAAGTGCTTAAAAGTTAAGTCCCAAGGGCATAAACTCTTTTACCTGTCCAACTGAATGTGTGAGGCCTTTTTGGTAAAGCTCCATAGTTTTTCATTTTGTTCTCCTATACCACCAAGTAACGCAATCTCACCTACAACAAAGAATAAGAAAACAAGTACAGTGAAAAACAGTCAGGTCTAGGTGGGTCAGGGTCAGTGGTTTTCTTGCAAACAAATCTTAAGTGATGGCACAAATTCCAAAAAGCTAGAAACTATTTTAGAAGTGATTAAGGTTAAGCCCAAGCGGAAAAAGGATTACATTTTGCCAGAAGTGAATTCTACTCTACACAAGGAAATCTGGTTTGTAGACCAATTTTAGGTAAAGCAAAGATCCAGGGACTTTGCCCATCTTTCCTATAGAATTTTTATCAACTCTAATAGAAGTCAGTATAAAATATTACTCTGATAGGAGCAAGAGGACACAGTCTTTTCATTTTTTTATTTTTATTTTTTGAAACAGAGCATCCGTCTGTTGCCCAAAGCTAGAGTGCCAGAGTCTTACTAGATCACAGCAACCTCAAACTCTTGGGCTCAAGCAATCTTCTGGCCTCAGCCTCCTGAGCTAGACTATAAGTGCCCACCACAACACCCAGCTAATTCATCTTCTTGTAGGTCTCACTCTTGCTCACTCTGGTCTTGAACTTCAGACCTTAAAGGATCCTCCTGACTCAGCTACCCAGAGTGCTAGGATTACAGGGGCTTGAGCCATCATGCCTGGCCTAGATATATGGCCTTAAAAAGTCAAATGAAGCAGTTATGTTTTCTTAAAAGAATATCATACATTAAATTAGAAATTATTCAACCAAATAATAGAAAGGAAATGCTAGATAGTGGCATATGAAAATGACCAACTTGGCCTGGCATGGTGGCTCATGCCTACAATCTGGGAGGCCAAAGCAGGCAGATCTCCTGAGCTCACAAGTTTAAGACCAGCCTGAGGTAGAGTGAGACCCCATCTCTAAAAATAGCTGGGAGTTGTGGCAGGCACCTGTAGTCTCAGCAAATCAGGAGGCTGAGGCAAGAGAATCGCTGGAGCCCAAGAGTTTGAGGTTGCTGTGAGCTATGACACCACAGTGTAGGTGACAAAGTGAGACTCTGTTTCAAAAAAAAAAAGGAAAGGAAATGACCAAGTTCTACGTCCTTCCTCAGCTCTAAGAACACTGCCAGAACTCTTTTCCATTTGAAAGTATCCTGGACTTATTCGCGTTTTTTGAGACTTGATTGACCTTTCTCACCAAAGAAAAACAGAAACATATCAAATGTTACCTCAAAATTCACAAAATTTCATAAATAAGTTTTTATTCCTGTGGGTAGGAGAGTTCAAAATTAAAAATATTTCTGAAGTGCAAAAAAATTCAAGCATCAAATGCTATACCAAACATGTATGTGCCTCAAAGGATTTCTTTTCTAAAATAAACACAAAGGGTCAGTCCTCAGGGTGAGGGGTGTCTACTCCTGACCTGTGCTGAACTGCTTCTGGGTTTGTTTCCAAATGCGAAGTCTCCAGGGAAAGACAATCTGTGGTGTTGCTAAAAGGAATTTTCTAAAGGCACTGTTATGGTCAGTGGTAAATAAACACTTCTCATTGAAGATAAGACAAAAATGTAATCGGCATGTAAAGATAACACTAGTGCCATACTCTAAGCACTCACTCCGCAGAATGGATAGTATTCAAGCTCCTTCCCTGGATCCTCTTCCTCAACTGCTCCTTAAGTGTTGGCTGTCCCTTAGTGTTCTCCCTGCCACCCGCTCTTCTCATATTACACAATTATCTCCTTAAGATTTTACTTATTCCCATGGATTCAGATTTGACATGTATGCCATTAACTGCCACTCTGACATCTCCAGGTATGATCTCACTCCAAAGAATCAAACCCATACTTCCATGGTAAGCACCTTAAATTCAATGTGATCAAGCCAAATGCCTAACCACTTGCTAACACCCTCCCCTCCTCCTTCATTCCCTAGTATCAGTAATGGCAACACTATCCACTTGGTCATCCAAGACCAGCCTGGTCTTTGTCATCCCAAATCCTTCCCTTTCTCCTCCATCCTATATCCAGGTAATCACCAATAAATAACAATCACTGATCAATAAAATCATCAATAATTTTATCTCCAAAAAAATGTCTTAGAGGTCAAGCATAGTGGCTTGCTCCTGTAATACTAGCATTCTGGGAGGCCATGGCGGGAGGATCCCTTAAAGTCTGCAGTTTGAGACAAACCTGGCCAAAAGCAAGACCCCATCTCTACTAAAAAAAGTAGGAAAATTAGCTCAGCTTTGTGGCAAGTGCCTATAGTCTCGGCTACTTGGGAGGCTGAGGCAAGAGAATGGGTTAACCCCAAGAGTTTGAGGTTGCTGTGAGCTGTGACGTCACAGTACTCTACTGAGGATGACACAGTGAGACTCAAAAAAACAAAAAAGAAAGAAAAGAAAAGAAAAATGTCAATTGATAGTGTAACTCTTGTTTCTTAAAATGGTTCAGCAGATCCTTGAGTATGCCATACACTCCAACATGCTATTACCTCCTCTTTTTTTGTCTGCTTGATGAACTTCTTCAAGTCTCTGTGCAACTCCTCCTACAGAAAACTATCCTACGCTCTTCCGGGCCCAGTTAAGTTCTCCTTCCTCTGTGTAAGGTCGTAGATCTCGCTTAGCATCTATATCTATCCCACTGGGTGGGAAACCCTAAAGAGCAGAACCGTTGCCTTCTTATTTTATGTACTAGACACAGACCTACTACATGCTGAAGGAGAGAAGGTGGACATGAAGAACGGAGGGCAGCAAGGCATGACTCAACCAAATCACTGGCTAAAGACAGGACTATAACAACTCTAATCTCAGAAGAAAACACCAATCATATTTTAAATTCTATGAACCATAAACATCCTGAAAAGTACTTGAGACAAACTGACCTTAAAATTATGTTAGCAGTGAATCTCTATTATGACAGGGTTTTTTTTTGTTTGTTTTTTGAGACAGACTCTCACTATGCTGCCCTTAGTAGAGTGCCATGGTGTCACAGCTCACAGCAACCTTCAACTCTTGGGCTTAAGCAATTCTTTCAGCCTCAGCCTCCCAGGTAGCTGAGACTACAGGAGCTTGCCACAGTGCCCGGCTATTTTTTATTACTGTTGTGATTGTTGCTGTTTTTTAGCTGGCCCAGGCTGGGCTCGAACCTGCCGCCCTTGGTGTACGTGGCTGGTACTGCAACCACTGTATTACAGGTGCTGAGCCTATAATAGAGATTTTTGAGAAAAATCATTTACTCCTTCTTGTTTTATAAATGATAATAACTAACACTTCGATTGCAATTACCCTCAGATAACATACTATATATTTTTCATACGGTATTACAAACTATCTCAAGGTAGGAACATCCTAAATACTCCAAAAATGGCAAGAAGCATGCTGGGATCCTGAGAAATCAGCAAAGTGGCTTGGTGCCCGTAGCACAGTGGTTATGGTGCCGGCTATATACACTGATGTTGGCGGGTTCAAACCCGACCTGGGCCAGCTAAACAACAATGACAACTACAACAAAAAATAGACAGGCGTTGTGGCAGGCACCTGTAGTCCCAGCTATTTGGGAGGCTCAGGCAAGAGAATGGTTTAAGCCCAAGACTGAGGTTGCCGTGAGCTGTGATGCCATAGCACTCAACCAAGGGCAACATAGTGAGATTCTGTCTCAAAAAAAAAAAAAAAAGGAAAAGAAAGAAATTGGCAAAGTATTAATATGAATAATCCACACTTAACAGCTCCCTGGACACCCACCTTCTCGGACTAAGTCCTCTGCAGTGTTAACTCCATGTTCTATGAGCTTCTGACAGTCATCCAGTGGTTTAATGGTCTCCTGTTCAATGACATCCACCTCCTGCAAAAGGGTCACCAATCGCTCATCCAGGAGCTTCCCAAGGGTTCCCTTTAAATCATTAAAATGCTGTTTGAGAACACCCCTTGTCTGTGATGCACTATCTTTGATCTGAAAAATAATATAAAAATTCAAAATCAGAATCTCTAAAAAGGACTAATCTATAGGTATCATGCATAATAATTCACAGGTATAACAGAATTATCATCTTCTATTCATTTAAAATAATTTTAAATTAAAATTATATTTATTTAAGGTGAACAGCATGTTTTGATACCCATATACATAGTGTACTGATTATTACAATCAAGCTAATTAACATGTACATCTATTCATATGGTTATCATAGTATGTGTACGTGGCAAAATACTTAAGATTAATCTTAAATTTCAAGTATACAATATAATATTATTCACTACAGTCCCAATCCTGAACCTTCTATCTCTATAATTTATTCAATGTATGTAAATGAAACTTTGTACCCTTTGACTAACATCTCCCCATCTCCTACCCCTGCCCCTTAACCACTCAGCTTCTATGGATTCGACCTTTTTTTTTTATTCAGAGACAGAGTAAGACTCTGTCACCCAGGCTAGAGGGTAGTGGCATTATCATTGCTGACTACAGTCTCAAATTCCTAGGCTCAAGCAGTCCCCTGCCTCAGCCTCCCAAGTGGCTAGGACTATAGGTACAAACCACCACATCCAACTAATTAAAAAATATATTTTTTGTAGAAATGAGGGTCTTACTATGTTGCCCAGGCTGATCTTGAACTCCTGTTTCAAAGGGATACTCCTGCCTTAGCCAAAGTGCTGGGATTACAGGCCTGAGCCACCACTGCAGCAGACCTCAATGTAATGTTTTTGGATTTCACATTCACTGGCTTATCTGCTTAGCATAATGTCCTCTAGGTTCATCCACGCTGTCACAAATGGCAGAATTTCCTTCTTTTTAACGGCTGAATAATACATATAAACCCTCCATTCGCTGATAAATCAAATGTGATTCATTTGTACAAATGGGCAGAACTCCATCAACTGGCCTTTGGGTCAGACAGAATGGGCTCAAATTCTGGTTCCATAATTCACTAACTATGTGAATCTTTTTTTTTTTTTTTGGAGACATAGTCTCACTTTGTCGCCCCTAGTAGAGTGCCATGACATCACAGCTCATAGCAACCTCCAGCTCCTGGGCTTATGTGATTCTCTTGCCTCAGCTTCCAAAGTAGCTGGCACTACAGGTGCCCCCCAAAACACCCAGCCATTTTTTTTTTTTTTTTGGTTGCAGCTGTCATTGTTGTTTGGCAGGCCCAGGCTGGATTTGAATCCGCCAGCTCCGGTGTATGTGGCTGGCACCCTTAGCCACTGAGCTACAGGCACTGAACCAACTATGTAAATCTTAACCAGAACAATTTGGTTAAGTTAATTAAGTACTGCATGCCTCAATTTTTTTATTTATCAAATGAGAATAAAAATGATTACTTCATGAAGCTGCTGCAAGGATTAATTAAAATAACCCATGTATTACACTGGGTAAAATAACTAGCACATAATTGTTCTCAATAAATAAATGTTAGAAATTATTATTATCAACCAGGCATGGTGGCTCATGCCTATAATCCTAGCACTCTGGGAGGCTGAGACAGGTGGACTGCTTGAGCTCAGGAGTTCAAGACCAGCCTGAGCAGGAGAGAGACCCCATCTCTACCAAAAATAGAAAAAACAGCCACGCATTGTGGCAGGTGCCTCTAGTCCTAGCTGCTCAGGAGACTAAGGCAAGAAGAACTCTTTAGCCCAAGAGTTTGAGGTTGCTATGAGCCATGGCACTCTACCCAGGGCAACAGAGTGAGACTTGTCTCAGAATAAATAAATAAATAAATAAATAAATAAAGCAAATTTATAGATGTTAGTATTACAGTTTCATATGACATATATTTGCTACCCTAGCTCTTTTGCTAACTTTCTCTTAGCGAGAGTTTGAAGTACAAGACAAATCCAACAAGAAAGAACATAACATATGAATAAAGGACAGTATTTCAACAGCTAACAGAGAACTCTAGAAAGCTTTCTATTCATTCTCCAATATTAAATTAGAAAAGCACCTGTGCTCAGTGGTGCCGGCTTCATATACCTGAGGGTGGCGGGTTTGAACCTGGCCCCAGCCAAAGTATAACAAAAAATAGCTGGGCATTGTGGCAGGCACCTGTAGTCCCAGCTACTCAAGAGGCTGAGCCGGCTCGGCACCCATAGCTCAACCGGCTAAGGCGCCAGCCACGTACACCTAAGGTGGCAGGTTCGAATCCCCAGCCCGGACTGCCAAACAACGACGGCTGCAATCAAAAAATAGCCGGGCGTTGTGGCGGGCGCCTGTGGTCTCAGCTACTTGGGAGGCGGAGGCAAGAGACTCGCTTGAGCCCAGGAGTTGGAGGTTGCTGTGAGCTGTAATGCCACGGCACTCTACCCAGGGGGACAGCGTGAGGCTCTGTCTCAAAAAAAAAAAAAAAAAAAAAAGAGGCTGAGGCAAGAGAATCACATAAGCCCAAGCTGACACGGGTGGACTGCTTGAGTTCAGGAGTTCAAGACCAGCCTGAGCAACAGTAAGAGCCCATCTCTATGAAAAGTAGAAAAACGTAGGTAGGTGTTGTGGTGGATACCTATAGTCCTAGCTACTTGGCAGGCTGAGGCAAGAGGATCACTTGAGCCCATGAGTTTGTTTTTTGGGGGGTTTTTTGGTAGTTTTTGGCCAGGGATGGGTTTGAACCCACCACCTGTGGTATATGGGGCTGGCGCTCTACTCCTTGAGCCACAGGTGCCACCGAGCTCATGAGTTTGAGGCTTCTCTGAGCTATGACACCATGGCACTCTACCCAGGGTAACAGAGTAAGGCTCTGTTTAAAAACAAAAAAATAGGGTGGTGCCCATAGCTCAGTGGGTAGGGCGGCGGCCACATGCACCAAGGCCAGTGGGTTCAAATTCAGCCTGGGCCTGCTAAACAACGACAACTGCAACAAAAAAATAGCCGGGCGTTGTGGGGGTGGGTGCCTATAGTTCCAGCAACTTGGGAGGCTGAGGCAGGACAATTGCTTGAGAGTTTGAGGCTACTTTGAGCTGTGACACCATGGCACTCTACCAAGGGCGACATAGACTCTGTCTCAAAAAAAAAAAAAAGAGAAACCGAGGCAAGAAGATCACTTGAGCCCAAGTTGGAGGTTACTGTGAGCTGTGATGCCATAGCACTCTACCAAGGGCAACATAGTGAGACTTTGTCTCAAAAAAAAAAAAAATTAAAAAAAAAAGGACAACTATTTTAAATTGCACATGAATCTTATGGCCCCCCTGTATATTGTTTTCCAGTGATGTTCACAACCATGTTTATAAAAAATAAAAGATGCCCATGCCCAAGGACTAATACAGAAAAAAAGAGCAGTCTGATTTGCTGCGTAGGCAAATCATAGAAACAATTTTCTGTCCTTTTTAACAATAATTATAACTATGATATTTGTGCAGTTAGAGAAAAGAATTCCGTAAATCATAAAGAAAATGAGAAATTCTAATTTTACCAATCTCTATAGATATCAGAGAACTTCCATGAAATAAATCCAAGTCAAAGTTAAAAAGAAAAAAAAGGAAGCTGGGCAGTACCCGTAGCTCAGTAGGCAGGGCACCAGCCACATACACCAAGGCTGGTGGGTTCGAACCCAGACTGAGCCAGCTAAAAAAACAATGACAACTGCAACAAAAAAATAGCCGGACATTGTGGCGGGTGCCTGTAGTGCCAGCTACTTTGGAGGCGGAGGCAGGAGACTCGCTTGAGCCCAGGAGTTGGAGGTTGCTGTGAGCTGTAATGCCACGGCACTCTACCCAGGGGGA